AAGGCTAAAGCCCTATACTTAAAAGTTATTCCAGCACTGCTATGTTGGTAGGGTTGTGGGGTTTTTTTAAACCACACAGCTATGCAGGTATAAGCTCTAGTGTAGATGCACTGTCAGTGTATATGCTCTAGTGTAGATGCCAGCCTGTGCCACTTCCCGCAGCTCCCATTGGTTGGGAACGGCAAACTGCGGCAACTGGGAGCTGCAGGAGGCCATGCCTGCGGACAGTCAATGTAAACACTGTCTTGCGGCCCACCAGCGGATTACCCTGATGGGCCACGTATTGCCCGCCACCCAGGTTGCCCACCACTGGTGTAAACATAGCTGGAGGGTTTGCCAGAATAGCTATACCTGTATAGTTATGCCAACAAAGGCTGTGTCTACACAAGAAAAGTTAAGTCTAGGATCAAAAGGAGGAGATCAAACATTATAGGACCCCGGTCATAGAAAAGGGAGGGTGCTGAACAGGTGGCCAGAGACTGCCCAGGAAGCGTCAGTAAGAGCTGACAGGCTGGTGCAGAGATGCACAGAGACAGAACATGATATTAACAGGACAGTCTGATTCTCTCCGACATGGGAGTTAGCTGATTTTAGGGGAACTTAAAAAAGCTGACAAGAAAAGATTAAGATACAGTAAGACCCGAGGTGCACAGGCCTTTGTTTTGTCCTTTGCTCTATGAGCTTTGAACATCTGGGGAGAATTACCACATAATACTTTGTTTTGAAGATGCTGTTTTTGAGTCACTTCAATCATCTCACTGGTCCCCAGAATGAAAGACTCACAAAGGTGCCAAACACAGTTGGCTCTATCACATTAATATGGTAAGAGAACAGGGGGGTCGATGCCAAGAGACCTAGAAACCTAAGAGGTGCATTTAAGAAGGACTAAAGGGGTCCAAAGTGCAGTTTGCCCTGTAATCATGATTGAGGGTCAAAGCTAATTCTGCTGCCAGGATGAAATTTAAAGGAGTTTTTAAGCTAGTCTCCAATTCAAAGTTGCTAACTACCAGATGCCTTTAGCAAAATACAATTTCCTGAATTATTCAAAATTTCTAGACTTTAAAGAGAAATTTCCTCAGAAAGACAGGGCCCAGTTCTAAGCTCTCATTGATGAAGGCAGGCTGGTCGCTAAGACATCACTCCATGTGCCAGTGAATGCACATTGACGGGGCTGCAGTCATGAGGTATGAATTGTGGATCCAATGTTCAGGGTTCCCCAGGGAGGTCCAGAATAACATTGAGGACCTTCCCTTTGATGAGTCTAACTTCTTTAATGAAAAGACCAATTAACATCTACACTCTCTTAAAGACTCTAGGACAACCCCTCACTTCCTGCATTTACACCCCAGCTCTGAAGAAGAAATATCATAAGCAAACCCTCAGGCCCACCCACCCTCAGGTATTTTATCAGGAGTGCCCTTATGAACCCCAGTGCAAACGACAAAGGGTTCAAAGATCCAGGTATGTGACTTCCTCCACCTCTATGACCACTGAGATAGGGAGAACTAAGCTAACTATGAAAACACTAAAAACACTAAACTACTAAAAATTATAATTCATATTTACAGGTATCAAAGTAGAGAAAGACTGAAGCAGACACAGAGTACAACAACTCAGGCCACTTGGTAGTATAAAAGAACTGGAGAGGCATTGGTCTGCACTGCCCTTTATATTCTGGTTTAGAGCTTGAGGAGAACAATTGTGCATATGCGGACCCATGTACACTGCTTACTAAAACTCTCTAGACTAAGATGCATGGTGCATATGCATAGCCATGAGTGGAATTGACATAGGGATAGGATCATCACTTGAAGAACATAACCTTTCTATACATCAGTTTCCCAATCTCTAAAATGAAGATAATAAAAGAAAACTATACAAGATACTACCCTTATTAGGCAATCTCTATTTTTTGTAATCCACTTAAAACAGATAAGGCTTCATCTACTAATATTTGTACACTTTGAAATTCTCGGATGAAACGCAAAGGAAGTAGGAAGTATTACTCTAGTGCTTCACGACATTTTTTCTGGGAATGGAACAAAAATCTGCATCAGAGGTAGGTAGACAGGTAAGGTCAGGTATTAGAATTTTCCTGTACTCATTCACCCCTCCTCTCGGCTTATTGGTAGAGCGTTGGCCTCGGTGACATCTTTTCCATCTCTAATTCTTATGATTCTACTATTTTTACTACAATGCTGTGAACAGTGCTGCCATAGTGCAGTTTAATGAAACTCAGCACTGTTGTCTCTCTGAAGATTTTACAAGCTAATGACAGGACGGATGCAGTTGATGTGGGGGTAACCAATTATAAAAGAAGTATAAGAATTCAAACGGGAAAAAAGTAGTTATATTAGTGAATTGAACTTTTTTTCCTCCAAGAAAAATCAGCATGAAAGTTTGGCATGCCAACAACATGAAAGAGGTGAAAAAGTGAGGTTAATTGAGCTCTCACATGTTTCCTTTATTTTAAGTAGTTCACAAGCTATTAAATACATAACCACCATTTAAAGCACATAGGTTTCTTTAATTTGGCATGTGGAAGAAATGAGGTAAGAATGACTCATGAAGTCTCTCAGCAACTTCAAATTTCTGACCATTGTTGATAGCATTACAGACCACAGCATCTGCTACATGAGTTTTATCACTATGCATAAAAAACTATCTGAGGCAATGTAGCTAAGTTCATGCAAAAATCTTGTATAGTTGCAACAACCTCAGGAAAATATTATTCTTCACGTCATCCTTTTTGTTCCCTTTTAAAAAATTTCTCCCTGAATATTATGCTAACATCAAGCATACACACACACATATATATATATATATATATATATACACACACACACACAAATATACACACACACACAAATATTACTAACATTATTTAAAAACGTAACACAATCATATTTACATGGGAAATATAAAAAAACACAAGTTGAACATTTCTCTTCTATTTTTTTGGCTTGTTATAAAATCTACTTAATACAAAAAGCACTAGAAATGATTGTCTCCCGTAGGAATAACACAGGGACTATGCACCTGATCTTGTTCCCACTGAAGTGACATAGGAATTTTGCTGTTGACCTCAATGTGAACAGGATGGGACTTTGTGACACAAAGCGCCCCTGTATTCATAACCTACATACTATTGTAATAATCTTAGTACAAAATATTCCTTGGGAGGTATCATTTGATAACTCACTGATCATTAATAGCCTTCAGTGATGTAAGTAAGTGGTGGGTATTAAGAATAATGGATATATGCTGGAATGATTACTAAAATCTATTCAAGCCAGGCATGTCAGGGGGAGTTGGTAAACAGGCCTGCTTAGACAAAGGAATGAACATTAGATTCTCTGACCAGCCTGATCGTCAGGCAAAGACAATGAAAATCTATTTTTATTTATTTATATTTATTTATTTATTTTTATTAGGTAAATAAACCTATTATTTAACAAGTGGGAGAAGAAAGAGCGTGAAGTTTCCTTTACCACCAGACTCCATGTCACCTTCCTCACAGCTTGAATAAACTTTACTTTGAGGGGTAACCCTCAGAAGAATCCATATCAAATGTTTACTGGTCTATCAAGACAGGGAGCTGAACCTCAAGTGTTAAGCAACTGAATCAACTGATTGTATACAATAGTACTGCATTATAAAAGTGTACAGAATGAGGTCTTTTTTGAAAACTAATGACCCTGGTAATTAATATAAGTGTGAGATGTATGTATTAACACTACATCAGGAATTATAGATACTGCTGGATATTCGATTGTACAGTCTACCCAGACAGGAGGGACTGTCACTGCTATCTAACGGTCTCCAATGTAAAGCAAGCATGGTGGGATCAGAAACAATGGAAGCCTCATTTACATAGAAATCGTACAGGGGGATGGAATGCCCACAAGAATGGAAAATGAGCATGAGGTCATCCTGCCTCCTGAAACAAGTTAATTGACCTTTGGAAGATGTAAGAAAAGACAGAAGCCATCCTTGGCATTCATCACCAGGCAGACACAAGAGGCCAGAGTCCTGCAAGCTGAGAAAGATGGGTCCTTCAAGCAAGGGAGAGGTGCGGGGGTGTGTGTTGAAGTCTATGGAACTAAACATAGGTGAGAAACCAGCTTAGGCAAAGAGCTTTCACCTAAGAAGAAAAGGGAAACCAGCACCTTCTACCTTTGTCGAAGGTCCTGACTGAGAGAAAGTCAGCCGTGGCTGGGAAAGAGAAAGACTGGTAACACATCTAGAACAAGGCCTGTAACTAGCTAAATTATGTTTTAGACTTTTAGATGCATGTTTTCATTTTTATTTCCTTGTAACCCTTTATTTCTTTTACTTAACAATAGGGCATAGGTTAAGTGATGCTAACATGTTTGTTTTATTTTACTATTAACCAACTCAACACAGTGTTTAAAGGGAAGGGTATATTCACCCCAATTAAGTTAATAAGCTGTGATCTGTATTTGTGTCTTTAGTGGAACAAATTAACCATATTATTTCTCTGAACTGTCCAGGAGTGGGCTGCAGATTGCAGAAGGCACAGTTTTGGGAAAATTCAGGACTGGGAGTGTGTTGGGGATCATGCTCCTAGTAGTAACCGAGGCTGGTGGAAGCCAGCATAAAGCTGCAGAGCTGTAGAAAGGCTGCTAGTGTCTGAGCTGCTGAACCTGGGCTGTCTAACACACAAACACTTAGGGTGTGACCTGCATGCTGGTAGGCTGCGTGTGAGCGGGCCAGGTTGGGAGCTACAGCAGAAAAGCGCTGTGAAACAGCCAGGGTTTACAGGGCAGACAGTAACACATCCCTTACTGGTCTGGATTGCACCTCCGAACGGATCAGAATGCGACAGATCTATATCTAGAAATGTTAAGCATGTAGGTATTAGAAAAGATAGTAAATAGCTTCATCATATCCATAAAGCTGTTTCTGCATCAGGCTGATGCAGAATGATGAGAATAATTTTAACATTGCACTTATAGCCATGAAAAATGTTGTATTACCTTAACTATTAATCCTTTTGAGTCTACCATCCATATCTTTTTGATGGCCTCACGTTCTGGTGTCCCTTCTTTTTGCATAGCCATAATAATCAGATTTGCTATTCCAAGGGCAGCCTTAAAAGGAGAGAGGGGAAAAGAAAATTCATATATGAAACTGGAAAAGAAAGAGAATGCAACAACATATGATACTATTTTTTAAAACTATTAATTTCAGTAACAATTAAAGCTGTACAATTAGATCTTCATAAATTAAAAACACCAGAAAACGGATCTTTTACAATGCTAGATATGGTGGTGATAGATATCATATAAAAAACAAAGACAGTCAGATTCATGGCTCAGTTTTACTATGTTTATGCTTCCTCTTCTCCTCACATAATTAATGGAATTTGCTATTTTACATTAGACAATAAAATATGATAGAGATCAGAACCCTATGTGACTACTCTACTACCACCAATAAAGTTTGGTTTGAATAAAAATAATTTTATTGCATTTAAAACCAGCCCAATATATTTATATAGAGTGGAGTGCAGGGGTGGTACTGAAGTGAATATGGTCTCTGAGCACTGCAACCCTACACATGTATTATCTAGACAATGGAGAAAGCCAGGGAGAAGCAGATGATTACTTATGTGGTACAATTTGTACGCTAGAAGTTTATTTTCTTACATTCATCTGCCTATTAAAAGGAGCAAGATGAGCAAAACATGTTGTTGTTTTTGGTTTTTTTTGCTTTTTCACAAAAATCTACGAATTTTACAAAATATAGGAAAGGAGTACTTGTGGCACCTTAGAGACTAACAAATTTATTTGAGCATAAGCTTTCGTGAGCTACAGGTCACTTCACTGGATGCATTCAAGCTTATGCTCAAATAAATTTGTTAGTCTCTAAGGTGCCACAAGTACTCTTTTTCTTTTTGTGGATACAGACGAACACGGCTGCTACTCTGAAACAAAATATAGGGGGTTTTTCTGAGTCAAAGTGAAAACTGTCAAGTTTGCAATGTTTTTCTAAAAATAATCTGTTCTGAAAATTTTAGCAATAAGTAAGTCTATTTCTTTTAGCCACTTATAGTTTTAATAATTCAGAGCACAGACTGTAACTCAAGTAGGGTTTGAGATATTCAGACTTCATTAGGTATTCAGCTCAGACTAGATCAGGGGTTCTCAAACTTGGGGGTCGTGACCCTTAAGGGGTCATGAGGTTATTACATGGGTGGGTCGTGAGCTGTCAGCCTCCACACCAAACCCCACTTCACTTCCAGCATTTATAATAGTGCTAAATATAAAAAAAGTTCTTAATTTATTAGGGGGGGTCGTACTCACAGAGGGTTGCTGTGTGAAAGGGGTCACCAGTACAAAAGTTTGAGAACCACTGGATTAGATGTTTCAGTTCTGCTTAGGTAGCATTTAGCCATAAACACATTATTTATTGAAGGAGAATTCACTAATCTTACATGATTATCTGGTTTTCACAACACAGTTTAAACAGCAAAAATAAATACAAATAAATAAATAAATAAAATAAACCCAAAGCTAATATAAACAAACAAACCAACCCACCAAATGATACTCAAGATTCCTTTTAAAGAATAACATTTTAAATAGTATTTTATAAAATCCAAAGCACACTGGTTAAATTTTGACTGATATGACCACACCTCTTTGCACATTGTTGGCACTACTGGAAATAAATACTAACACTGATCTTTTAAGATGAGTTTTAATACTTAATCCAGATAATAATCTTTGAGAATGTAATACGACTTTTATTTTCCTATAAAAAACCTTTATTTTTGTTTTAAATTTCAAGAACCCTACACAACACACACTATATTTTATTAAGTAATATACAATCTCAATCTCAAATCATCCTTAAAAGAGCCTATCAAGAAGGCATATCTTCTCTTATCTACTACTCGAGTATTCTGTAATTGTAGACAGTTGGTTGTTCTCCCAGAAAAAAGTTCCATTTTTCAGTTCTTTGTCTAGATGCATGTATTATTACTGGATTCTAGTTTTATTTCTTTTGAATGATATCACAAAAAAAACAACAGAATACTGAATAATTTTGAATATCAACCCAGTACAAACACTAATCAGTTTGCTTCTTGTTCTTCACTATGCAATTTCATTGAGGATCAAATGGCGCCCCCCTTTCCTGCCCAACAGCAGTTTATTGTTTTGGGTTTTGCTTTAGAAATCTAGAGTTTTATTCTGAATAAACTCATAGGGACAGAGATTGTGTCTTCCATTGACTTTATACAGCACCAAGCACAACAGTGTTAAACAGAAAAATATTTAACCAGAGATTCTTCCATTTGCTCAATATGGAGCAAAAGCTGCGGAATGATCTGTGTGCACCAAGGTTGAAAGCATCTCTAAAGTCTTCAATACATTCAGATCACTGATGCAGATATTGATGCTCTCTGTGGGCTTGATCTGATCTGGTAGATGCTGAGTGGCAGAATAATCACAGAAATGTAGGACTGGAAGGGATCTCAGTAGGTCATCCACTTCAGTCCCCTGCACTGAGACAGGACTAAGTATTATCTAGACCATTCCTCACAGGTGTTTGTCTAACCTGTTCTCAAAAACTTTCAATGACAGAAATTCCACAACATCCCTGGATAATTTGTTCCAGTGCTTAACTACCCTGACAGTTAGGAAGTTTTTCCTGATGTCTAACCTAAATCTCCCTTGCTTCAATTTAAGCCCATTACTTCTTATCCTGTCCTCCATGTATAAGGAGAACTATTCCACATTATCACCTTCCTCTTTATAACAACTTTTTACATACTTAAAGACTGTTATCATGTGTCCCCTCAGTCTTCTCCTCTACAAACCAAACAAACCCAATTTTTTCAATCTTTCCTTGTAGGTCATGTTTTCTAGATCTTTAATCATTTTAGTTACAGTTCCTCTGGATTTTCTCCAATTTGTCCCCATCTTTAGCGAAGCGTGGTGCCCAGAACTGGACACAGTACTCCAGTTAAGGTCTTATCAGTGCTGAGTAGAGTGAAAGAATGTGGTTGAGGTAGACACATAGGCAAGGCACAGACTGACCAGAAATTGGGTTGCGGGCTGGATTTCTTCATAGGAGCTACTCACTCCTAACACTCCTACAAATACATTGCAGAATGTTTCCTTTTTTTGCAACACTAGGACCCTGTTGACTCATATTTAGTTTGTGATCCACTATAATCCCCAGATCCTTTTCCACAGTACTCCTTCCCAGCCAGTAATTTCCCATTTTGTATATGTGCAACTGATTGTTCCTTCCTAAGTGGTGTACTTTGCATTTGTCCTTATTAAGTTTCATCCTGTTTATTTCAGACCATTTTGTCAATATCATTCTGAATTCTAATCCTATCCTCCACATCACTTGCAGCCCCTCTCAGCTCAGTATCATCCTCAAACTTTAGAAGGGTTTTCTATATGTCATTATCTAAATCATTTATAAAGATATTGAATAGAACTGGACCCAGGACAGATCACTGCAAGACCCCACTTGATATGTCATCCCGCTTCACTGTGAACCATTGATAACTACTCTCTGAATATAGTTTTCCAACCCATTGTGCACCCCCCTTATGTAGATTCTTCTAGGCTATATTTCCCTAGTTTGTTTATGAGAAGGTCAGGTAAGACAGTATCAAAAGCCTTACTAAAGTAGAGAGTATCAGGGAGAAGCCGTGTTAGTCTGTATCCACAAACACAACAAGGAGTCCGGTGGCACCTTAAAGACTAACATGCCCAAATAAATCTGTTAGTCTTTAAGGTGCCACCGGACTCCTTGTTGTTAAAGTAGAGAGATATCACATCTACTGCTTCCCCCCGATCCACAAGGCTTATTACCTTGTCAAATGAGGATATTAGGTTGGTTTGACACAATTTGTTCTTGACAAATACATGCTGACTGTTACTTATCACCTTATTATTGTTTAGGTGTTTGCTTGCTTGCTTATTTGCGCCATTGTATTTCCAGGTATTGACTGGTCTATAATTCCCTGGATTGTCCTTATTTCCCTTTTTATAAATAGGTAGTATGTTTGCCCTTTTCCATTCCTCTTAGATCTCTCCCATCCTCCACAAGTACTCAAAGATAACCACTAGTGTGTCAGAAATCTCTTCAGCCAGTTCCTTGAGTATTCTAGGATGTATTTCTTCAGGCTCTGTCAACTTGAAGACATCTAACTTGTCAAAATAATTCTTAACTTGTTTGTTCCCTATTTTATCCTCAGATCCTACACCATTTACAAAGCTGTTCATTATGTTAGTCATCTGATTACTGCTAACCATGTTGGATGATATTATTTGGATGTGCTTGGAGTGGATGAGAAGGAAGAAGGCATTGCTGGCTCGATGGACTGTCCTGAGTTCTAGTATATTTATGTGCATTCTGAACTCTAGGGTACAGATGTGGGGACCCACATGAAAGACCCCCTAAGCTTATTTCTACTAGCTTAGGGTAAAACTTCCCCAAGGCAAACTCTTTGCCCTTGGAGGGTACGCTGCCACCATTAAGTGATTTAACAAAGAATCAGGGAAAGGACCACTTGGAGTTCCTATTCCCCCAAAATATCCCCCCAAGTCCTTACACTCCCTTTCCTGGGGAGGCTTGAGAATAATATCCTAACCAATTGGTTACAAAGTGATCACAGACCCAAACCCCTGGGTCTTAGGACAATAGAGAAATCAGTCAGGCTCTTAAAAGAAACAGAACTTTATTAGAAAGAAAAAAGGTAAAAGAAGCATCTCTGTAAAGTTAGAAGGGAAGCTAACCTCACAGGGCAATCAGATTTAAAAGCACAGAGGATTTCCCTCTGGGCAAAAACTTTAAAGTTACAAAAAGAAAACCAGGAATACACCTTCCTCTCAGCACAGAGAAAATCACAAGCCAAAACAAAAGTAAACAAACGCATTTCCTTGCTAGTACTTACTAATTCTAATGGAGTTGGATTGCTTGCTTTCTTGATCTCTCTCCGGCAAGCACACAGGACAGACAGACAAAAGCTTTTCTCCCCCCACCCTAGATTTGAAAGTATATTGTCCCCTCATTGGTCCTTTTGGTCAGGTACCAGCCAGGTTACCTGAGCTCCTTAACCCTTTACAGTAAAAAAGGATATTGTGCCTCTGGCCAGGAGGGATTTTATAATACTGTATACAGGAAGGTTGTTACCCTTCCCTTTATATTTATGACATGAGGGGGTCCAGATGTCCTGTACCATATGATCACCCTTATGAGCTCTCATACCTAAGAGGGAGGCATCAGTAATGATGGTTGCCTTGGGAGTCAGTGTAAGGAAAGGGATCCCCACCAAACTTTCTCCACCTTTGTCCACCTTATGAGAGAGTCCAAAACCCTGGACGGAATTGTCACCTTGTTGTTGATGTTGCCCCACTCTGGTGAGTTCATGGAGGGAGCCAGTCTTGTAGACAATGAAGATAAAACCTGGTGAATGGCATCATCTGTGTGCATGAGGCCCATCAAGGAGGGAAAGGAAAGTTCTGATTGAAGTGCAGAGTCTGATGGTGACTTGGTGTGAGAGAGCACTCATGGCCTGAAACCTCAAGAGATTAGATAAGCTCTTGCTTGGTTGAGTCCAACATCAACCTAAGAAGTTTATGGACCTCATGGAGGTAAATGAATTTTTTGTGGTTGAGGTAGACACTTAGGCAAGGCAGCAGACTGACTAGAAATTGGACTGCCTGCTGGATTTCTTCGTAGGAGCTGCCCATTAGAATCCAATTGTCAAGGTATGGGAACACAGTAAATCCTTCTCTTCTCACCAAAGCTGCCACTACTGAAAAAACAGGGTAAAGACCCTGGTGCTGTGGCCAGTCCAAAGGGGAGGACTCTGCATTAGTAACAGTCTTGATTGAAGAAGATGTGGGATGGATTAATGTCTATTTGAAAGTATGTGTCTTTCAGATCCTCCTCTGAAGAGGAATTACTAATGCCAAAAAGAACATGTAGAATTTTAGTTTTCAGATGAAAACGTTCAGCATTCGTAGCATCAGCCTCCACCTCATATTTTTCTTGGGGATCAGGAAGTAAGAGGAGTAGAATCCCTTTCCTTCGATGTTGAGGTGGAACCCTTTCTATGGCTCCCTAGGGAAGAAGTGAGCCAATTCCCGTTGGAGAATCTCCTTGTGAGAGCCATCCCTGAAAGGGAAGTGGGAAGGGTGTTTCTGGGTAGGATTTGTTTGAAACTTGATCAGATAGCCACCATGAATAACTTCTAGTACCCATTTATCGGTAGTTAAGGCCCTCCAGTTGTCAGCAAATTAGATAAGGCAGCTTCCAAAAAAGCTGAGGCAGAGAATGAAGAGGATTCAATAAAGGGACGCAGGTCTTGACAGTCCTGCCAAAAGAACCTTTGACTGAAGGTTAGAGTAAGATGTGGTGGTGGATGTTGCAGAGGCTGGGTTCCTGGGCTTATAAATCTTCTGTCTTTTACTTGATGGCTCCTGAAGACGTTGATAAAAGGGCTGACAAGGCAGCCTCACCCTCTACCCTGTGTGTGATGTCTTCTGTTGGGGACAGGTATAAATGCCAAGTGAGCAAAGAGCTGTCCTCAAGTCCTTGAGGGAGTGGAAAGATTGATTGCATCAAAGGGCAGATCTTGGATGGCACTCTGCACCTCTCTAGGGAAACTTGAGAATTAATCACGTCTCTTCTCATAACAATGGCCATAACATCCCCCCAGACACAGTATCCGTCATGTCCAGCACTGCCTGGGGGGAAGTCTTGGCCACCAATTTGCCTTTGTCAGTTAAGGCCTGGAAGTGGGCTTTATCCTTCTCATGGAGCTTGTCCTTAAAATTTAGAAACTTAGCATAACTGGTAAAATCCTATTTGGCAAAGAGGGCCTGATAATTTGAGATCTTGAGTTGGAGGGAGGTGAAAAAAGACTTTTCTCCCCAGGAAGTCGAGCTGCTTGTGTCCCTTATCAGAAGGAGTAGCCTTGAGGTGTTGCTGCTTGGATCTCTCTGTTGCCACCTGCAGCACCAAGGAGTTAGGCCATGGGGGTAAAAATAAAAACTCTCCCTCTCTAGCTGGAACAAAGTAACACTTCTTGGCCCTCTTAGGGATAGGAGCACAAGAAGCAGGAGTGTGCTGAACTGTCTTTTGCTGGGTCCGTGATGGCCTCATTGATGGGGAGGGCCACTCAACCTGGACCGGAAGGCTGAAAAATGTCCAGAAATCTGTGCTGAGGCACCTGGACTTCCTCATGCTCAATCTCCAGCACTGATGCCATTTTATGCATGAGCTCCTGATACTGGTGATCTGGCAGAGACAGAGAAGATGGAGTAACCGCCTCATCTGGCGAAAATGATGAAATCGCTCCCGGAACTGTCAGAACCAGCTCACCACCTTCCTCAAAATGCTCGACAGGTATGGTTGGGGATAGATGGTCAACAATAAATAAGGCTTATGTACCAATCCCGGGTGTCCAGAGTAGGGCTTCCACAGCCTCCAGTAGGATGGATCAACTGGCGGGGGAGGATGCCATGGCATAAAGTACCACTTGTCTCTTGTCTAATCATGTCTGGCTGCAGGCCAGAATCCTGATCTTCTAGAGCTTCTGTCCAGGGCCACCTTTATCCGGAGTTGCAGGCCCTCCTGTGGAGCTTCCGACTCACTGGAAGAAGAGGCCAGATCCTGGACTACGAGTATAACTGATGGTACTGATAGCTGTGTATGGACACTGGTGGATGAGACAGGAAAATGACTCTGAATCCTTGGAATAGTCTCTTCCTCTGGTGTAACAATGTCCCCGAATAGAGATAGTCCTGATAAGAGGAGTCAATGTGGGTAAGGGACAGGAAATATGTCCTCTGGCGAGATAAAGGTCTCAGTTCACCCTGGTGGAGCAGTTGGAACCAGAGTATCCCTGGTCACGGGGAAGTTGGATCCATCTGGAGATGTGTTGCTATAGGTGCACCAACAGCTCTAGATTTGGATGGCAACACCAGAAGCTGTTTATCTTGAGCCTTTACCATTGAAATCTATGCTAGACCAGCAGATCCATATCCTTGCATTCCACTTTCTCCTGCCAAGAAGATTTACTCGGGCTTAAGTCTTTAGCGCCCATGCACGCAGATTCTCCTGACTTTGATGGGATCAAAGAGGCTTCCTTTCTCTTCAGGGCAATCTTAGACCACCATGGTTTGTCCCTATGTCTATGAGAGTGCTGGTAACGGAGTCTGGCTTGGCTATTTACTGCTCGGTGGCACCTCTTCATGGTTCATCCGGGGAATTGGCTCACCACTATCCGCACCCCATGAGGGGGTCACTCAACCCATTGTTCTGGTCAGGAGCTGCAGAGCCTCTCTTTTGTGGCTTAGCCCTCTGGCCAAGTCACCATCATCCTCCCCTTCCTGAGTATTATCAGAATCCCCTTCCTCAAAGACTCAGGCCCTCTCCATATCCACTGAGCTGCCTGCACCACTTCTGCAGCAACTGGTAGGGGAATATGTGCTCTCCCTCTATTCCGGATTATGATCCAGAGACCCTCAGACCAACAGTTCAGGTCTATCCCTCTCAGACAGTACTGTTCCTTCCCTGGACTGCTCCCTACCCTGCTCTTTCTCGGTCTTCTGTTCTGCACCTTGTATCAGGGAGCGTGACTGCAGGGTCACCTCATTGCAGTCCCCATCTATTGCAAAATTCCTCTTTATAAACCCCACCCAGCTCCTTCCCCAGCTGGATTTCATCAGCAATTACGCTTTAGCACTCCTTGCCTTTCCTCCAGGTATGAGTTAATTGGCCTAATAGAACCGTTCAGGCCTCATGTGAGGTAGACAGCCTAACACAGTGCCCCTTACTTCCATTGGAAGCGTTTCTTAGAACTCTCAGCCTCTATTTCTGAGCTTGTGCTCGAAGATGCACTGCCCACTTGCTTAGATTGATGTACAGGGTCAGTACCCAGCCTGGACCTAATTGGGGTCTCATTGCCTTCTCCTTCAGATGTTTCCTTAGCTTCAGTTCCTGACCCTCACAACTTCTGGGGGGAAAGGAGTGGCAGATGCTGCACTTGGCTGAAATGCGAGCCTCCCCCAGGCAACAGAAGCAGTGTTGACGTTCATTGGGCACAGAAAAGGATCAAGGGCAAGAAAAGTTTTTGAACCCCAGAACCCTGGGCATCATCCCAGCATTCTTGGGGGGGGGATTTTCTCAGGGGGAGGAGAAAAGGGGGGGAAATAACTAACTACTAAAACAATTATATACAAAAATACAATATATTTACCGCAATGGCACAGTAGAAATGAATCTCAGGACACCAAAGATTCTGACTCGGACCATGTGGCAGTAAGAATGAACTGAAGAGGCACTGGTATGCAACAACCTTTATGCCCTCAGTTCAGCGCACAACGAGAGCTACTGAGCATGTCTGGGCCAATGGATACTGATTGTAAAAAAATTCCAGACTCAGGTGCATGGTGCTCATGGGTACCCACATGTGAAATACACATAGGGGCTATCATTCAAAGAAGAACTTGACGTTTTAATAGCGGACTATAATTTTCCCAAAGCATCCTATGAAAATACCCATCTTGATCAGATGAACTAAATGACAAAATGTATATTTGAAGTAAGAAAATTTTTTTGCAGGTGATTGTTATTTAACCTAATAAGTATCTTATTATGGATCAGATACATGTAACTTGTTCTGAAATAAAAGCAAGGTTTTCACATGAGAAGCTTCCTTGCTGTATAATAAAGATACCTCTCCAGCTCCCTGGAACAGGATATTGTGATCGGACAGCTTGTTCTCAGTGATACGCAGAGCTGCTAGAAGACCTGCAACAGCCACAGACGCTGTTCCTAAAATACAAAATGAATTATTTTGACTACTCTTGAAATAGTAATTGCAAAGTCTTAAGTAAAAATTATCAATGATTTCGAAGTACTCATATAGCTAAAAGATGCAAATACTTGAGAGTTAGCAATTACAATTTAGATGGGGAGTCGTTTGTTTGTTTTGCTTTATACTTTGTTTTTATTAAATCAGAGATAAACGAGACTAATAACTTTAGAATAAAGTAAAATAAAGATTATGATCTTGATTCTAATCTCAGCTATGTTAGCATGTACTCTATCTTGCCAACCACACCACCTAGTGCTCAGAATTCATTTGACCAGATCTCAGGAACTGAGCAAGATCAGACATGGTCAGTAATGGGAAATGCCAACTCCCATTGGCAGGATGCACACTAACTAAGGCAAGAGTTGTATAGAGACCTTTGCTTCAATTAGTGTGTAACATGAAATGAGAGGTTATTTATCTCTTACAGTAACTGGAGGTCTTCAAGGTGTCTTTATGTACATGGATCCCACTGTAGCTGTGTGTGCCCCATGCAAGTGAGCCCAGAGTCTTAGTTGCAGCATCCCCTGGGGCTGCACATGCACATAATGCATGCTCTTGCACCCCTTCTGAGGAAAGAAAGGGCAGAGCAGCTCCAACCACCACTCAGTTCCTTCAGCAACACAGAATATCCCAGTATAGGACTGTGTCAGTGGGGAAGGAGGGGGAGTCACAGGATCCCTGTGGACAAAGGCATCTTGAAGCACTCCAGTTACTGTAAGGTAGGTAACACCTCTTTCTTCTTACAACAGTTGTCTACATGGATCCCACTGTAGAGGGCTGACTAGCAGTTATCTATCAAAGAGGGGTGTGATAGGACTCCTATTTAAAGAACATCTGTAGGACAGCCCTGCTAAATTGGGCATCTGATCTAGAAGCTGCCGCAATGGAGTAGTAATTAGTAAAGGTATGAACAGAACCCCAAGTAGGTGCCCTACAAATCGAGGGGCCTGCTGTCAAGGCCTATATTTCACTCATCCTGCAAGCTGAAGTGATAGCTGAAAAATGCAGTTTTCATGGAAAGATGGAACAACAAAAACACAATGACATAGGTTCAAAGGTAGAGTCCATTAATGCTAGAAACGCCACATTCATCTCCCATGTAGGAAACATTTCCTTTACTGGTGGAAATATATGAGTCAGCCCTTTAAAAAATCTTGATACAGTAGGAAGGGAAAAAAAACAGAATGACTCCCAACATGTGTAGATTGTGACTGATAGATGTAATTGAAAATCCTGAGTGCTTTCGCAACAACTGGTAGTCCAAGATAAAAGAATCAGAAGACTCTCAAAGTTGAATGTCTTTCAAAAGTCCACAAGTAAAACTAAATGGAATTGTTTTTATACGTTAGCCTTTCTGCTCTGAATTAAAACCTTTTGAACTGCCTTGGAACAACTGCTATCAACAGAATTCAACCAGGTAGCTTCCATGCTGTCAGATATTGAGCACCAGACCAGGATTTTGAAAAATGTATGGCAGAATTGGAAGTGGAAAGAGTAGATCTATTGACAGGTCAGAAAACGAAAGCAGATTTGTCCAAGCATTATTATATCAGACTTATCCTGATGTATTTTCCGGGGAATTAATTACAGTGTGGGGAGGGGAGGAGAGACACAGCAGAACCTTTCCCCACCAAATCAGAAAAGCATCCGTCAGTGAACCTGGACTCAGTCCTTTTTGGGAGAAAAGTGGGGGCACTTCTTGTTTACAGTGGTAGCAAATAAGTCTATTGAGGGAACCCCCCAGCTCATTAATATTTGATCCAGAATCGAGTCTTTCAATTCCCTCTCAGGAGTGACCGAGCCCTTCCCACTGAGACGATCCGCCAACTTTTTGAGAGTCCCTGGTAAACGAAGAGGTACCAGGTTGATTCCCACAAAAAAAATTCTCTTCCTGACAGAGCGGAAGACCTTGCCCCACCTTCTTTGTTTATATACTGTATCACCATTGTATTGTCTATTAGAGCCTGGCAATTATACGCTGAAGGAGGGGTAAGAAACCCTTGCAGGCTAGACAAACATCTAAGCCCTAATAAATGTATGTGTTAGTGAGATCATAGGCTCTGAATTAGAGACTGCCTAAATGAGAACCCTAGCTGTGTGGATGCATCTATTACAAGCATCTTTGAGGGGGGATGGTTGGTGAAATAAAATACCTTGACAGATTAAATGGGGTCTGTCTACCAAGACAGAGATATCAGTGCTCCTGGAGGAACTTTTACCAGTAAGTCTATGCTGTGTCTGACTGACAAACGGATCTTAACCACCCCTGAAAAGAGTGGAGACGCAGTCTTGCATGTGGAGACATGTAAAGTACAAGCTATCATGTGAGCCAGCTAGCTAAGGCAAACTCTCACTGAGGTTTTGGCTGGGAATAGAGGTTTGTTCTAAAGAGGTTCTATGATTAATTATACAAAACCTCTGAGGAAGGAATGGTCTGGCTGATAGAGTTTATAGGGGCAATGTCAGATTCTAGTGATTGAGTACAGATGAGGGTGTCCTACATGAGTGAACCCTTGGGTATATACCCTACATGGCTCACTGCATGTCCAAGCATTGCCTCCCACATCTACACTGCTATTTGTAGCAGTGTAGTGTCTTGCTGCCTCCCTGCTGCCAGAGCCTTTCCCCACCACAGTGAAAGATTCTGTCAATAGGAAAAAGGTTCCTGTCGGAGACTTTCCCTGCTGCGTGCAGCTACACACTGCAGTTGGTGTGGACACAGCCTGCTTTTCAATGCGGTATGTAGCTACACGTACCCTACATGCCATCTTAAGCATAGGCAAGAGTAGACAAGGTCTTAGATCCCCACTGCTCCCCAGTCCATGTCTCTTTGCACTTATCTGATAGAGAGCAGCCACTGAGCCACAGGCAACTGGACCAAATCCACCTCCCCTGGCTAGCAAAAGCCACGTGGCATATGTGCTATTTGGAACAGAGCAGGCCATGGCAAAGTGGGGCTTCTTGTTGACCATAGGATGTATCAAATGGGGTGGGGAAGCAGCCAAGGGGGATGCAGGGGAACTGTATAAACCAAGAAGGCCCACATGTGAGTGAACAGAAGCTGCTGCACAGTGTTGCCAATCTCAGTGATTTCTTTAGAAATGTCAAAAATTTGTGCTTTTTGAAGTATGCTGTCATTTGGCAATTTTTGGGCGACTTTTCACATGTGATCAGCGAAAACTCGAGTTTTGAGGTTGGGAACACAAGAGAAGTGTCAGTCTGGAAAAAGAACAGTTGTAAGCAAGGTAAGGCGAGTTGTGCCTTGCTGCTTTAGGGAGCAGCCTGTTTTGGGGGTCTTGTTCTGAATTCTAAGAAATAAAGTAGTGTTACATTGCAACCTTCTAGCAACATAACAAGAGTATTCAGAGTATATTTTTTTTCTAGTTACTCTGTGTGTATGATGTGAACATACCAGAATGCTGGGATTCTACTTATCAGAGTGTCTGACACTCTGCCGCTAAGTCACTAGGCAGGCAAATCTATTGTGTTTCAAACTATAATTATGCATTGCTGGTGTACCAATTACAGCTGGTAACCTCTAGTGAATTCTGGTTTTCCCTATAATCCTCTATTTTAAATGAAAAAGTTAAGAGTTTTCAAAACTATACTATTATAGTAATATTTTAGGTTTTTGCTCTGGGCATTTTTGCATGTATTGTACAGTATGATTATCGATTTCTAATTAAAGTGGCACAAGTAGGTGTCACCGTAGTAATGTACTAAGATCTGAGGATTAACATTTATTATTAATTCATTAATTTTATAAAAGGGCAACAGTTTTAAACAAACTATTGTAAAAGAACTCCACTTTTGTTTTCTTCAGCCATTTTCTGTAAAATGATAAAGATCTAGTTCTATTAGAGTAGCCAGCTCACTATCATTCTTTGTTGTTGGCAGTAACTGTCATCACTCCTCTTCAGCAGTTTGCCTTATTTGTTCTTCATGAAAAGGGGGAAAAAATGTCAGTGTGAGCAGCAGATTTGTTTAACCGGAACTACTGTGACGAATGGTTTGACCTTACATTTCACCATGCAGATCAGCTGCAGTTTCTGGAAAGACAATCAAAACACAATCTGCACCAGGCAAGTGCCAAAACATAAGATGATCTTGTGAATATTCCAGAATATGAGAAAAACTCTACCGCTATTCTATACCATCACAAAGACTATGGAAAAATAAACTCTGAAAGTTTTGACAACAGAACATGGCATTTTTCAGGGGGGTAGTAAGCAGTTGTGAAAGTTAACATGCTGAAACAATTTTTTCTAGCAGAGATGACAAATCCCCTATTACAACTAAATTCTAACCCACTCGAACATCATGGGTATGAAATTTGGAAGCAAACCCTACCTTACTGAGTTGTTTGTATTCTTCCCAAGTTTCTGTTGCAGTTCCTGTTACTGCTATTGGCACAGCCCTGAGCCAGAAGCATGTTGGCATATTATTACTTCTTATTCTTCTTCTTATGTGTTTTAGGGCATAGCCTAAGGTTCGCAATCACAGATTGAGACCTCATTGTTTTAGGCACTGTAGAAAAGCTTACTAAAAAGACAGTCCCTGCCCCAAAGCGTTTACAATCTAGGTTACAACCAAATACAATAAGAGAAACAAACGAAGTGGAGGAGGATAGGTTTATATTTATGGATTTTATTTCATTTTGACTTAGAAGAAATTAAAAGGTGCCCATGGCTCTGAGTGATCTCCCAACTATTTACAATTACAAAAACATAATGCATTACAAGCAGCTCACACTTCTGCCAAGCAGAAACACATAAATACTAGCATCCTTGTATGTAGTCTGTACCTCATTCTCTCTACTTCTTCTCAAAGGCCAGGTGAAACAAATGAGCTCTGCAGTATGCCCTCAAAGTCAATAAATCTGGGCTAATCTGGATTTGGGAGTTTTGGATGAGGTAAAAGTACAGCAAGCACAGTTTATTACAATGAGTGTTAGGCACATCTAACTCCCCATTCTTTCCCACTACAGGGTAGAGAAGGCAAAAGAGACAGAAAAGAGCCCCCTCTCCTCTCTCAGCCCCCAGTGAGGAAAAAAGGAAGACCATGATCTTGGGGATGGGGAAAAGAGTTCAGTCCCTTAGTGGAAGGGACGAAGGAGGGAAGTGAGGGAAGTCCAGTGCCTAAGGGTGGCTTAGAAGGGAGCCTCACATGAGAAATCCACCCCTGGCTCCTTCAGAGGCCCTCTCAATAAGACCCCCCACTAGAGACTCTGGCTAAACACATTTATAAATATTCTAGGGGCAACTTGGTGGCTTTTATCTCCTCCTTCCCTACCAACATCTTCAAGAACTGGTCCACTCCCCCAACTTCATTCTGGAGTGGGGAAGGTAGCCCCTGACTCCAATCCAAAGGAAAGAAGAATTTTAAAGAAAGACGCCCTTTGTTCCTCCATCCTTCAGCTGCATATGCCTAGTTCATGCTGAGTGGATGGGATGGCTACATGACCTTTTATAGGCTTAGTCCAATTAAAAATATCTATTTATCAACCCCAAGTACAGATGTAGAGAAGCCTGCCTATTAGGAGAGGGGTTTTAGCAATGGAAAAGGTGGGAAAACATATAGTAAGGACTTTGCCAGCTTTACAAGAGGTCATTCACCACTTCACATCCCAGATCCTGACACCTACAGAGGCCGAGGGGCACTTTATTTACTGTGTACAGATTTAAGGAGGTCAATCGCCAGCCCACCAAACTGACAATGGTAAGTAAAATATTTCTACATGCAGCAACCACTCTGATAATCAGACCTCCTTCTCATAAGTCTTGGTGTTTATCTCGCTATTGGTGGGCAGCGCAAATAGAGATAAGAAACTTTGCTCCACCGAGGACAGTAGAATTTTTCTCTGGTGTACAGCAGATTGTGTTCTTGACAGTTATAAAGAAACTATCAGACCTTGACTGTCATGACCAGAACTGGTCTATTATCCATGGAAGGAGCAGCAATACTCTGAGACCTCAATGAATCATTGTGGTAGATACTGTGTTCTCTCTGGTACCCATTTCCTAAAATGAATGGGGTAGATACCTTAAAAAAACCCTGATTCTCTGCATTCACCAGTTTTGGGAGTGGCGAATATACAATTGGAGCTAGATCTTGGCCAATAGAGGAGATTGGGTAAGAAGCGGAAGAGATACTTGGAATTCCTGGATAGGTATCATAGGTACTAGATCATAGCAGCATGTCTGTGTATAAGATCAGAATTCCTAGTAGGCTCCAATAAGAATTGGATTTTTGTTTCTGTGACCCCAGTTGTTTTTCATTATGACCATCTTGATCTTCTGTTAGCATTCTTCTGAGATGAGCTCTTGTGCCTGACAGAAGAATGAATACTCTCTGTACAAATCTCTGATCAAAAAAATTGGCCTGGAAGAGATAAATGAATTTCCTTCTTTCTTGAAGCGAATGTTATTGTTACCATGATCCTGGAGAGGGACCCTAGGAGCATATGTAAAATCAAATAATCAGAGCTGGGGAAAGAAAAAAGCTGCCATCCATCTGCAAAACATAAGAATTCTCTGAGGATGGTAAAATGGGAATGCTTTGCAGACAAACCTCCATTAGGAATTTATTTAGATGTTTCAGACAGCTCTGTTTATCCCTCAATTCTGTAAGTCTAGAAATAGGATGGGGAGTGGGTTGCAGTGGTCCATTCTGAAGTAGATGATGGATGATCCCATTCTGGTTGTGGACTTTCTATGAGTTACTGACACTGGGAATGTGACAAAGCTGTTCCTGAAATTCTTTCACAGCTACATAGGGTCTCTCTTCTGGTCACTGTCCAGCGACCTCATTTTATCAAAACTATAGTTAGCCCTTTTGATCCCAAACTGAGAGAGCCTGGTGGTACCAACCAGCAGGTCTCACTCCAAAAAGGGCTAGTTGGGAGATGAGCAGATAGTGGTGCAGAAGGAAGGCCTGGCTGAGTTGTCAGCTGTTGCAGAGGGAGAAAAAAAAATGGAGGGAACCTTCAGGAGGTGGGGCATTCCCGTGCTGCATGTGACTGAGATCTGTATTTGCCCCTAAGCTGCAAGCAGGCTGAAATGCCCACAGTAAGGGATCTCTAGACACTAGCATGAAGAAGAATTGAAGTTAAAGTTATATCACACAGCCTTAACTCTTAAAAAGTTAATTAAATGAATGTCTAGAATTAGATGGAGTGTAGGATGTAAATTAATAGGGAAAAGGAGAGGAATAAAAATAGGTCACTGGACGCCTGGTGTACCTATCCCCCACAGTGCTTGGTCTGAAAAAGGTGCCTGTGGGGGTCTATCACCATCACCACTACACGTGCCCTTACATCTGTTCAGCAATTAATTCTGTCCCTCAATCCCCAAACTGATCTTGTACCCACCAGTCCCCCCTCAATTCTGCCCCAATCTGTTCCCCACATCAGCTCTGCCCCCAGCAGCTCTTGGGGTTCTTCATCTCTCCCAGGCCTAGGGGAGTAGCTGCAGTTTGGGGTCCACCTCCCCCTTCCCAGGCTGTGTGTTGCAGAGAGAGGGGAGAGTTGTCCCACTGCTCATAGAAGGAGAGCAGGGATGACGGAGCAGAGCCACCTTGAGCTGCTAGGTTCTTTCCGCCTCCCTACCTTCCAGTCAGAATGGTGTCAGCGGCTGAGGGGAGAGCACAGAGTTCTGACTGCTTCTTGCAGCAGCCATGATCAACTGCAGTTCTCCAGGAGCCAGGCTCATGGGAAAAGAAGCCAATCAGAGGGGATTTTGCCCCAGCCAATGGTAAAACTGCACTCCACAGCGACCCAATGAACTTTTTAGAAATTTAATTTCCTGGGTTTGCAGCCCATTGCACTTCAAGCACTTCCTATCTTCTAAGCACCCAAATAGAGTAGGATGAGAATATTTTACCTTGAATGTCGTCATTGAAAGTGCAGTACTTGTTACGATACTTATTCAGGAGGCGGAATGCATTGGCATTAGCAAAATCCTCAAACTGAATAAGGCAATTCATGCCATACCTAGAAATACAAAGGAAATGCAAATTTAAAATAGGAAACAATGCAATGTTGCACATATAAAATTGGAAGCCCTTGGAGTCAGATTTTGGATCAGAGTATAATAAAAACTATACAGAAAGTCATGAGCTTCTGTCCTATATTTTGTGTTATTGTACTCATACACGTTACTTGGAAGGAAGATTTTGGACTATTCACACACCTTGCCGGGTTCTAAATTAATTAACTGTTCAGGAAAAAAGGCCTAGGTTGCAGACATCTCAACAGGAACCTTTATGGAATGTGTACCAGTAGTCAAGTAAAGGAAAAAATAGGACTCAGAGGGAATGGGATGGAAAACACTGAATTTATTTTAATACCATTATGCAAATCAACAGGATGCCCCCAGAATACTGTGCTCAGTTTTGGTCATCCTGTGTCAAAGAGAAATGAGCAGATATTGAGGGAATTCAGACACAGGGAACAAAACGATTAGAAACAAAAAATAACTACAGAGGCATTGGCCATGACTCAGTAGTTAAAGTTGAGTTTAATTTTGTACTTAAAGCAGGGATGTAACCTCTTTGGTATGAATAAAAAAGCAGCATATCTTATCCAAAGTTGCACTATCTACTGTTTGAGTATACAATGAATTTACAGTAAATTAACAAGTAAATAGTTAATTAGTTCATGTTAAAATTAATTAAAAATGCATCATTTCAAGAAGTTAACATCAGTTTCAGTCTTTTCTTTCTCGTGATTGATCTTAAGAATGGAATGACACAGACTCTTCAAGCATACCATATATGTATAATTAGTTAAAATTAATTAAAATCTTCTGCATAGGTTACATTTGGAGAAATTAGGACGTAATTAAACTAAATTATTAATGATTGCTGTATCCACTTGATATGATTATATAGGGCAGTTCAACAGCTCAGGTAATTCTAAAATAGGGCCAGTGTAACATCAGAGGTAACTCAGCCAATTACGATGCCAATTCTATAGTAGTGAATCAATATAAGGGAGACTGGATAGGTATCAAGATGGTAGATTACTTGGCTCAACTCTCACTGTTCTCTAAAGGTTCTGTGCTTGCATGCCAGCTTGAGCAGTAGTGTTTGCAAGACTCTTAATAGATTGATGCCTTGACTCCATTATGCACCAAAGCAGCACTGCCAGGGAGCACAGTGGGAGCCTTTTAAAAATGCTAATCCGTCTTTTCGCATAGCATCAATCTCTATACATTTCCCTCTAATCCAATAAATCAATTGCATATTAAGGGCCAGATTCACCAGTTTATGTTAGCTGTTTTGTGCTTGTCTGGTACACTGATGAATTTGTCCTTCAAAGTTTTTTTTTTAAAGCAATTTTAACATTGATACAATGTATCTTCAAATCATCAGAAATACTGCATGGTAGCATTCTCTTTGCATTTCTTGTTTAGCGATCATGTGTGATATTTTTAATACTTTTTAAAACCAAGGAAATTGAGACAAAACAATCAAAACAAAACAACCCGCCCCACACACAAATTAAGATGGAATTAAGGCTGAGAATACAATTAGTAACTTAAGTGTAAACAAAAACACCGTAGGTATAGGAAAACACCAAGAGCTACAAGCATAGGAATTTCAGACTTAAGGCTAACACTAACTTCCCCCCATCCCCATTTTCAACGGTATGGAAATGCACAGCTAAGACACTTAAACAACCTTAACTCTACCTGTAATAACAAGAGGGGAAAGATATGTTAAAAAAATCTGTCTTTAAAATCAGTTTAATCTAATTTGCAATCATACACACTATAAAGCCCTAATCAAAGATATGATTATTGAATGGTATTGTTGGAGACCCCAGGGCATGGCCACTAGTTAAGTTGAGGGGATGGAAGGCCATAAGGGTTGAGGAGGTCTCCCTGCTGAAGGCCTAAGGGCTTCTTCTCAACCCCCCCTTAATAGAATTCAGGCCTGGCTGGTTTGAGTAAGCTCTTTTGCTCTTAAAACAATGTTGCAGCCGCAGAAAATGCCTCATAGTGTAAGGTTTGCTGATCCAAGTTAATGGAGAGACAGCTACAAGGCCAGACAGGATGTGCTGGTTGTTTAAGTTGCTAGGAATGCTTGTTAGAGGTTGCAGGAAATAAACATTGTTTCAGAGTAACAGCCGTGTTAGTCTGTATTCGCAAAAAGTAAAGGAGTACTTGTGGCACCTTAGAGACTAACCAATTTATTTGAGCATAAGCTTTCGTGATCTACAGCTCACTTTATCACTTCAATTTATTTGAGCAGAAGAGTGAAGTGATGAAGTGAGCTGTAGATCACGAAAGCTTATGCTCAAATAAATTGGTTAGTCTCTAAGGTGCCATAAGTACTCCTTTTCTTTTTGCGAATACAGACTAACACGGCTGTTACTCTGAAACCTGTCATTATGCAAGGCACTGCATTTAGCCATATGGAGTGGAAATCTATCAACTGCATGAAAAAACTTAAACATTGTTGTAACCCACATAAGGAAGGCAGAGTATTTGTGTAAAGTTTTGATTGGATAATGTGTAGTGCGGTAGCATTAAGGAATATAAGTGTGTGTAATGACCTGCTCTGATGTGCAGGATTTGAGATTCTATTCTCCCTGTACCTTGTTTGCACTTGCAAATAAACTTTTCTGCTTCTCCACCCCATTGTGATTATTGAGTGAAGCACGCCAGGTAATGAACCCCTGCTGTTGTTTTGCCTCTGGGCACTGAGTACTATGCCACTATCTACAATGAACAACAGCAAGGCAAAATCTCAGATCCCCTGTTCAAAAGCACATAACCCAACTGCCTGAGCTAAATAAGAATCTTCTTTAGTTGTGAGCAGTATAGACCCAAGATATACAGTTCTGATAGAAGAGCAGTTCTGATTCCATCCAGAAAAGGTAAGTGTACACATACACAGTAGCCTGTTCATTACAATATTTAACTCAAGTCTAAAGTGTATGTTTGTGCAATTTTCCTTTAAAACTCAGGTGTACTAGGCAAACTACATTGAGCAAAACCATAAGATAAAAACAAAAGCAAAGAATTGTTGTGACCATATTTATCTCTATGGAAAATACACATATTTATCTCTATGGAAAATACACATTTACAGCCATATTACAATTAGCCAGAACAGAAAGGACTCCATTGACAATAATCCCTGCTGAACATATATCTTCAGATTTTATGGGAAATGCTGGCACTATTTGAAACATTAATTAGAGGCCAATGGTTAAAAAGGAAATCTGTTGGTCAGTAATTCGGTATAGTAAATCATGACTGACTCCAAACAACCACAACCAAACTATCACCAAGAGGGCCTAGTGGTTGGATGAGATCAGCTGTTGGATGAAGAACAGCTGGTTGATGCTGAACCAGAAGGACAGAGGTAATGCTGGTGAACAGAGGAAAGTACTTTGAAGAACTTGCAGCCATGGTGCAGTGTCCATTAGTTGAAGATACACAATCATGACTAGTCAATTCAGTCAGTAGTCCAGTAGGACTCGGATTTCTTGCTGATGCTGAGCTCTCACACATCATCATCTGCAAACAACACTTTTTACCATCTCTGCTTGACTAGGAAATGCCATTCCATCCTGGCAGATGAAGACCTGGCTTCAGTTATTCATGCCTTCATCATTTCTCAGCTGGATTACAGCAATGCAATATACCTTGGCATGAAGGCTTCAGAACTTAGGAAACTCCAGCCAGTTCAGAACTACCATCCTCAGCAACAAAGGCTACTGCAAACATATTAAACCTGTCCTCCGCTCTCTACAATGGCTTCCCATAGACTCAAATTCAAAGCCTCAGTCCTTATCTTCAATGCGCTGCCTGGCCTGGGCCCAGGATATCTAAAGACTATCTAAAGCTTTGGGATGAAGACCAGGGTTGACAACTGCGTTCTTTTGGCAAAATGAAAAACTCAATAAGAGTAAAGCTTGTCTGTACAGAAGACAGAATTTTTTTAGGGGGTGGTCAAACTGTATGATGAATTTCCCAGAAACGAAGGACCACCACAAACCTCACCATCTTCTGCTCCAAATGCAAGATGTATTTATTTAACCTTGCCTTTTCTTACATAAACACACAGCAACAGGTATATTTATATATTTTTTAAAACCAAAACCTATCAGAACAAGATATTCCACACTGTACATGGTTCTTTGTCTAGGAACAGAATGAGAACCCAAACGTGTGATAGATGTGTAGTCACATTGATTAATGCACTACTGGAAGGTACTCAGATACTCCATGATGAGCACAGTATAAAAAATTATATATAGAGAGTCCTCTTCAATGAAAGAACCCTGGCAAAGCATTCAGTATATCTATAGGTTTCAGAGTAGCAGCTGTGTTAGTCCGTATTCGCAAAAAGAAAAGGAGTACTTGTGGCACCGTAGAGACTAACAAATTTATTTGAGCATAAGCTTTCATGAGCTACAGCAGCTGTAGCTCATGAAAGCTTATGCTCAAATAAATTTGTTAGTCTCTACGGTGCCACAAGTACTCCTTTTCTTTTTGAGTATATCTATAGTACCTCAAAAATAAAGTTTTCATTGTAGAATGGTTTCTGATTGATTGCATGTTCATTTTTTCAATTTTTTTTTTAGTGTTGTCAATGAATTATGGTCACCCAGGAATCTGATTGGTACAGATTCCATTTATTCTAACAAGCGATATAATCAATGGAGACTTTAGATGTAATATACTTTATACCAAGAAGATCAGACTAAGACTTCAGTTAGAATAATTTACCATTACCACTGACATCAAAATATTTTGTTATATGCTAACAAACATTCATGTCAATATTTTTCTCTACTCATATGCTTGTTTTAAAATAGCTATGCAATAGTTCTGTAGTTAAAGCACTGGGATTTGCTGGGTCCTAAACTTTGCTCTGCCACTAACGCCTTGTGTAACCTTTGCAAGCTACTGATCCTCACTTGTAAAACAGAGATTAAATCCATTAATGTTTATGAGGTGCTTGAACAATATGGTG